AGGTATTGGGGGAACCCCTCTAAGAGATGGATGAAGAAGGGTTTGGGCTCAGCATGGTGGCTCGTGACTCTTTTGGGGCAGCTGGGGAGGATCCAGGCCTAGGTGTGGGGGGCTGCCGGGGGCAAGCAGATGTAGAAAGGATGCAGAGAGGTTGTAGGTGCCCGTGGGGGTGAGGTGGGGAACAGGGGTGTAGGCTGGTGAACGGCTGTGGGTCTGCAGGGTGTTGGGGGGCTCTTAGCCCCATCCCACCCCACGGCAGTCCCAGGGGGATCAGTGACAGCACTGAATAAAGACAGACATGCGAACAGCAGAAATTAGAGAATTAAGTAGTTTCTTCTGAAGTCTGAAACAGCGGTTCGTTCTCCCTGGGGGGACTTTGAGAGCTCAAACTTCTGAGAGCTGGTTGAAGCAGTGAGGTTTCACCGTGCACTCGCTCATCTGCTGCTGGTGCTGTGAAATCCGTTGCCTCTCAGTAGCTCTGCCTTCGCAAGCACAGCCTGGGTCACGTCTCAAAGCTGGCTTGTTCCTACTGCCAGAAGCCTTGGTATGGAGTCCCTCACCCTTACTAAGGAAAAGAGATCGGCTGGTTCAGGTGTGAGGTGAAATGTGTGTGACAACAAAAACTCCTTGTTCTGCTCAGCTTTCCCCGATTTGCTCTTTCTGCCTCTTTCTTGCCTCTTCACTGAGTCCCGCCGTTATCCTTCTTTATGAAGTTACCACTTCTTTCCCTGCTCAGGTCCCTCGAAAGGCAACATTTCAATTTAACATTCAGGAGTACAACATACAGGTGTCGTTAATGCTTCGGTGGACTTCCCAGTTCATTTTGCCTCACTGCAGCGCTTGTTGGGCAGGGACTTTCTTCTGCCAGTGGTGTTGAAGGACACGGTCTGAAGGGGTTGTCTAGTTCTTTGCAAACTGCTTTAAAAATAGTTGTTACTAAAGCACAGTCATTTCTGGAGAGGAATTCGGCAGCAGTTCTGAACCACTGGCTTTGTTAGATGGCTTTTTTGGATTGGGGTTTTCTCAGCGGAGACTAAGAATAACTTCACTGTTTGAATGTGGAGGAGAAGCTTGTGGGAGGTGGATTCAACAGCCAGATTCCCCGTTTGGAAAATGAGTAGGGTTAACATCCTTCCTCCTTGTTTCCTTAAAGCGAGAGATCGTATTCACCTTCTGTGACATGAGCGGGGTAATTACTGCTGCCAACTGTAATCGCTTTGCGGGCTGGAGGGTGCTGGAGTGCTTGTTTGCTCTTAGTGTTAAAAAGAAACCAACAAAAAAAGGAGTGGGTTCAAGCTGGTGGGAGCAGCCATTCAGCAACCCACCTGTGAGCTTTGTAATGATTACCCGTGGCCAGGATGGTCTTTTCTCAGACGGAGTGTTTTATTTCTGATGCCAGAAGTTGGTTGGGAATTGAGAAGTGGGAGCCTATTTTAGTATCTGATAGACCTCACTGCTTTGAGCACATTAATGCAGCTGTGAATTTCCTTAATTGTCTGCCAATCCTTTGGTTATACCTAACGTTGAACACTTCCTCTCCCTTTTGGTACTTGCCTGTCAACCAACTGTAAAAAAAATTCTCATGTCCACCTTACTTCCCGCTTAGCCAAACTAGGCACCCAGTTATTTTAGTCTTTCCTTGTAAATCAATCCCTCCAGCTGCTTAACTATATTTTCCTGAATGCCTTCCAATTTGCCAATATCCTTCTGATACCAAATAGCTTGGAGTTGAACGTGGTTTGTGTCGGAGTGGTGGAGATGGGGACTTTTCCTCCTTGCTCTCCATCTGCTCAGATTATAAGAAGGAAAAGCTTTATGCAAACTTTGCATGTTAAACCTTCCGCTCGCAACTTGTCTTTCTCTCTAACTTAACTTTCCCCTGTTGAAGGGTATTTCTAACGTTAACTTCTACTTAATTTTGCTCTTATTTCTGTTTTCTCAAGGTTCCTTGTTGTCCACTCTTCCCCAGCACTTCCCACCGTATGTATTTAGTGCTCTGATTTTTTTTTATTTTTTTTTTCCCCCCTCTCTGTGTGATTTTTGAAGATGTCAGGTGAAAATCAACTCGCTGTTGAGCCTTGCCGAGTCCTGCTGTTAGACACTCAGCCCACCTTGGTAGGTTGCACGCGTTGTGCACGCGTTGTTACCCTTTTTAAGCTGGTTGATGGGACTGTCGTTAGTCCGAGCTAACTTGGAAGCGCCGTACAATCCATGTAGCACGACTACGATGGTGGTTGCGTAGATATGCCATGGAGGAACATGGGAAAAATAAAAGGACGTGGCTAAAAAAAAAAAAATCAAACTTCTTATTAATGTCTTTATTCCTATCTCTTCCAACCCCCCTCGGAGCCCGACCCATCTGCTCAGATTATAAGAAGGAAAAGCTTTATGCAAACTTTGCATGTTAAACCTTCCGCTCGCAACTTGTCTTTCTCTCTAACTTAACTTTCCCCTGTTGAAGGGTATTTCTAACGTTAACTTCTACTTAATTTTGCTCTTATTTCTGTTTTCTCAAGGTTCCTTGTTGTCCACTCTTCCCCAGCACTTCCCACCGTATGTATTTAGTGCTCTGATTTTTTATTTATTTTTTTTTTCCCCCCTCTCTGTGTGATTTTTGAAGATGTCAGGTGAAAATCAACTCGCTGTTGAGCCTTGCTGAGTCCTGCTGTTAGACACTCAGCCCACCTTGGTAGGTTGCACGCGTTGTGCACGCGTTGTTACCCTTTTTAAGCTGGTTGATGGGACTGTCGTTAGTCCGAGCTAACTTGGAAGCGCCGTACAATCCATGTAGCACGACTACCATGGTGGTTGGGTAGATATGCCATGGAGGAACATGGGGAAAAATAAAAGGACGTGGCTAAAAAAAAAAAAAATCAAACTTCTTATTAATGTCTTTATTCCTATCTCTTCCAAACCCCCTCGGAGCCCAACTGGAGGAGACGCTGACTGTGGAGGACGTTCTCAGGATGGCTGAAAGGGGGTTTGTGGACGTGGCATGGGGCAGGCAGGAAATTTCCCTCGCTCGTTTTGAAAGATGGGGAAGTTTGAGAGAGGAAGCGCGAGGGCATGGGTGTGAGAGGACGGTTGTGGGGAAAAAGACCAAATTCTCCTTCCATCCTCCCCAAACACGCAGGAGCCTGCTTGCAACGCCCACCAGTTTCAACTGATGAGGCAGCCAGGAGGAACTGGAGCTCTTCTGAGGGGATCGGGACAACGAGGACGCATCCTTGCCCGGAGCCGGTCGCTGCCTCTTTGTGGTGGAAACATTTTTAAAATGGCTCAGTGAAATAGGCTCAGCTTCTGGCAAGCCTGGTGGTGCATGTGTTGTTTTTTGCAGCATGTGTTAGTAGAGGATCTCTGGGTTGGATTTTGTTTTGGACTCATTTTCTGCTGCATCACATGTGATGCTTTTTCACGTTCTGTTTGGGTTTATTTGTCCTGACTTTCTTGGGACTTTTTTTTTTTTAATTCTTCCCTTTTTCTTTTCTTTTTCTTTTTTTTTTTTTTTTTTTTTTTTTAACGTTCCTAGCACTGAGAGTTGAGGCCAGATTTCCAAAACTGCTCTTCCCCCCGTTGTTTAGCACCCAACTACGATGCATTTTGAGAGGACTTTCCAGTGCTGGGACAAACTATTTATATTTTTTTTTGTAACAGACGTTCAGGATTGAGGACCTGTTGCTTCCTGTAACTTCATTATTTTTATTTTTCCTCTTTTAAAGTTATCTTGTTTCTTGGTTTTTGGTTTCTTGTAATACAGTGGGTGAATCCTGAGCAGTGTAGGCTGAGCAGAGATGTAAGCAAGGGGACTGGGCTTCCTGCGGAGCTGGAAGAGGTTTCTGTTCGGTGTAGAGGTGTGTGGGAAGCTGCCTGTAGAGACTAAAACAAAAGCACGTTTATAATCTTGCTTCCTTTTCAATATATAAATCTGAGGTTTTAATTGGACGCGTAACGCTCAGCCTTCACATCTCGGTGTTTGTCGCGTTTCCTGGCTGATGAATTCCTATATCGCATCACTTGAACTCCTCAGTGAATCTCTTAATTCTGCTCCTTCTCCGCTGCTTTGAATCGTTTTGCCCAGATCTGAAAAATTAAGGCTTAACCTGCATGCAGCTTTGCTCTGCCGGCAGAAGGAGCGGGGATTTGAGACTGGCCAAGCTGTGCCTGTGGCCTCAGCCCTCCTTCAAGCGACGCGCACGCAGGCGGGTGAGCTGCAAGACTGGGCCACGGAGAGCACGTGCGTTGGAAAACACCAGGATTTCCTCATTTACAGCCCTTGGAGGTGGGGGTATCCACAGAGGTTCCTCTCCGAGCTGCTGGTTGACGTTCGTGCGCTTGGGTTTGTTCTCCCTCTTTAGAGCTGATATTTACAACGTGTTTTGCTGCAATTAGTCTTGGTTCGTGGGAGTTTGGCTTAATTGCTTCTCTGAAGTTAAATTTTATAATCTTCCAAGAGCTTCTTGCTTTTTTTTCTCCCCCCCCCACCTCCCTGATTCCCTGATACCCCTGGTGGGGCACGTGCTGACGCCCAAGTCAGCCGTACAGTAGCCTTTATATAGCACGCGCTGTAGCTTAATGCATGCCAAAGTCTGACATGTGTTTTTAAAACACGATAAATTCAGTGCCTTAACCAACTCCAACGCAATGTGGTTTCACCGAGGCTAAACCTAATTTTAATGCTGGCTAATTACTTAGCGGAGCGGGATTTTTGGATTGCACCTCTTTCCTCTAAGCTCTTTGCACGCTTTGCTGGGGTGGCGGTGAGAGACCGAGCTGGCTGGGGTGAATTTTCCTCCCTCCACGTCTCTCTTCTGCTGCTCTATGTGAGCAGGAGCTGCTGTCCCGCATCGGGACAAGCGCAGCGCTGAGCTCCCAAACGCCAGCAGCCATTTATTGAAGTTTTCCGATGAAAGCAACGTGTTTGGCTCATGGGGAGCAGCCCGGGGATTGCAAACGGCGCTGCCGCTCTCGTCGCAGGAGCCAGCCAGCCCGTGGAGAGCCTGCAGCGGTCTGGAATGCCTCTCTGGTGTCCCACCCTTGCGCCAGAGAATAAAGCGGCAGTGGAGACACGGTGCCAGCCGTTGCAAGCTGGTTCATGAATAAACAAAGCTTCGCTGCCAGCTACGGGCCGTGCTACCCACTGGGGGTATTTCTCTGTGCACGCTCTGCAGAGCTAGCCTGGCTTCTGAGCTCTCTTTGTGAGGCACGGCTACCAAATAAATCCTGAAAGAGAAGCTGTACGAAGACACTTTTCTTCCCTTTCTCTGAACAAAAAGAGGTTTGAGCTCCTTTAGTATGAAATGCACGTTGTGCCTGGAGTTCAAAAGTCTGCAACGCTGCAAAGTTCTCCACTCCCCTGCCTTGCGGGGATGCGCTGCCACGCTTGCAGTGCTGCCTTTAGCAGAGCTCTTGCACAGCTTGGTTTTTGGTTTTTTTTTTTTTTTTTTCTTCTTTTTTTTTGTGCTTATGGAGAACGTTTTCAGCCCTGGCTGGCAGAGACCTCGTTCTGAATACCATTGTTACTATTTAAAATAATAATAATAATAAAAAGCAGTCTTTCACAGACTTCAGTGCATTAAGGACTTGGCTAGATGT